AATTTAGACGCTCTCTGGCACCACCGGTGTGTGCCCTCTCCGTCTCAATTAAACAATTACCGTTGGAAATTAACTCGAATTCCCACCGTTCTCGAAACCCGCATTGCTGGCAGCATGAATTATTGTTGGATATATTTTTTTCCATGTCCCACACGGACAATTCACCTAAGAGGTGATCAATTTTTCGGTGAGTGGGATGAATTTTTTGGGTTTACTGCGGGTCCGGCAATTGGGTTTGATGGACGTTATGATGATGCCCGCACACTTAATCAGTAGGAGTAGTCGGTATATATGGAGAGGAAATTTCTCCCCCACAATGGGAATTATTTATAATGAAAAAAAAATTTTTTGAAGATTTCGGTGGTGATGCGGCGAAACGGTCCAAGTCGATGAATTGTTTTCAATGAATATCTCGGAATCTAAGGCGGACAGCAAAATTTTCGTCATAACCTTTTTTGTAGAGCGAATTGAGAGCTGTGAAAAAGGTCATAACAAAAATTTCGCCATCTCTATTAGATTCGGAGATATTCTCCAAAATCTTAGTTGAAGTCGATTTTGACTGGTGGTCAGTTTTCAATGAATATCTCGGAATCTACGGCAGATAGCAAAATTTTCCTCATAACCTTTTTCGTAGGTCTCAATCCGCTCTACAAAAAAGGCTATGTCGAAAATTTCGCTATCTCCCTTAGATTCGGAGATATTCCTCAAAAACAGCCGAGAGCGAAGCCGACTTGAAACGTTTCACCCTATGTTAAGTAAAAAAATACGGAAAAACGTTTTGCGCAATAAAATTAATGTTCAGTATCGATTTATTTGCAAATAAGGGTCAGAGGGCCTACGACAAATTTTTAAAATAATTTTTTTTTCAACTTCCAGGAATTTTTTTCCTCTGAGTAATAATTATCTTTCAATAGAATTGGAATGAATCCAACGTCACCCGAAACTGCTGGTTGATACGAGCCACTAGAGAGGGTTGACAATAAAATGTATCAGGCATTTTAACCCTCCCCCCACGCAAACGAGATATTTAAACGCCCGGGATTTTCCTGCACGGGGACGAAATAGAGAGAAATGTCGAAATGAAACTAGGGGGGAGGGGGAGAGTCTGGCTATTGTACTCAGGTGTGAGGCGTGTGCAGCCACCGGGGGATGAGCGCACCCCGAGGGGGCAACAGGGGGATAGAAAGAAAGATATGACCAGAGGTGGATTTGCACACGCGGCACGAGCCACGGTATATGTACCTTTTCACAAAGGGGATGGAACAGATTGGAACCCATTCATTCATTCTTGTTTTTTTTAATATAAAAAAAATAAATACATCCCTTGGATAATTTTTTTGGTATTTCGGGGGCACAAAAGAGCGAATGAAAAATGTTACTATGTAAAATTGGGTGGGGCCTGTAATTTTTGGGATGAAAACGAGAGTTTTTGGTATTTCGGAAGCATAAAAGGGCAAGGAATTAGTAATTGCAGCTAATAAATTGGCAATTTGCTTCCGAATGGGTTTTCTTTTTTTAAATTAAAAGAGTGTTATCAATTTTTGAGCCACGACTAATTCCAATTTGATGACAATAAAATTTTTTGGAAAAATATCAATTTTTTCGAATCTTCATGAAAAATTGAATTTTGGTTGATGTCAATGAATAGAGCTTCCATCGGAAGAAATAAAAAAATGTTACTATGTAAAATCAGGTGGAGGTTCAATTTTTTGAGTGAAAACGGGAATTTTTGGTGGGGGAAGTAAACCAATTTGAGACGAGGGGAAGTAGCCAACGACTGATTCCAAGAAAAATCATGAAAAATCCCTCTTCCAGCCGCCCGATTATCCAAAACTACCCATGAGAAATTTCAGTTTCACGAATCATAAACATCATCACCGCCAATATAAATTCCCTATGAGGTAAAGAAAAGAATGCCACGCGTCGACCCTCATTGCCGTCCACAGACTTACCTTCACCACATTTTACTATTCTCCATTGTGCTACAGGGGAAACTCTCGTGCTTACTCACACAAAATCTCGTACGTGGGGAAGTTGGGTACCGGATGACTCACCCACGGTCGTCCATATGCATTGGCGTCACACACATCTCCATCCCCTCAGCCTCCGTCTCCCCCTGACCCCCTCCCCAGTCCCTCGAAAACCCACATAAAACGACGAATCGTAAAAAAAGCAATTAAACGAGAAAACCCACTTCCAAAAATTTTCTCAACGAATTGAGAACAAGTTGATATTCTAATTTCCCTATTCTCTTCTTCTATTTTTTTATGTCATAGCGCCATCATCAACGGAAATGTCATCAAAATTTTGCGTATTATTTCGTTCTGCTAAATAATTCTACATTCAGACCCTCTCAGGACTCGAATTCGTTTTCAGTCCGGGTTTAATCGAGGTTCAATCAAGGTTTAATCAGTGTATAGCCGGGATTTAATCAGGGCTTATTCAGGATTTAGCCAGAGTTTAACCCACGTTCTGTCAGAAGTTAGTCGGGACCACGAATCAATATGAATAAGTATTCAACATAATAGACTGCCACCTGAGTTTAATAGAGATAGAGATTTTTATCTAAAAAGCTCATGACGGTATTGTGTAACTCGATAAGCAATGACGCTGTTTTCACCATTTTTCAACTTGATTAAGAAGCCATTGAAATATACTTTTCAAGCCCTGATTTAATTCCTACTACTGATGATTCTTTCAGTAATCATGAAAAAACCGATTTTCTCTTTCAAATCGCGTAAACAATGTGCTGTACCTCAACAACCAATTGTGCGACCCCCACCTATTATGATAGAATCAAACGAGTGTTGTTATCAATTTTTGAGCCACGACTAATTCCATTTTGATGACAATTTTTTGAGCGATCGTTGAAAAATCGATTTTTGGAAAATATCAATTTTTTCAAATCTATGAAAAATTGAATTTTAATTTGTGTCAATGAATGGAGCTCATTAAAGTCTATATTCACGAGAAAAATAATGAAATTCGATTGATCCCTTGAGCACAAAAAATTGGAAAGACAATTTTTCGTGATTACAAAAGCCTCCATTCACACCCAAAAAATCCGAATAGTCAAATTTCCGTCGAGTGAATTTTCTACGTCAATGTGTGTGCCCGCACGTTTCATCAAATCCCGTTGCTCTCTCCCCCTGCGTCAATGTATATATTTACGGTGGCACATAGAAATAAGAAAGAGAGATAGGGAGGCCCCTGTATGACATCATTCCCCTCTCTCAAACGTTTCGTTTCGCTGGATGACTTCTGTCGCCTAACTCCACCAAAACACATCCCTCATGCTTCCTAGGGCTGCTCTATTCCGCCCCCCCCCCTCGCCCCCTCCGCCGCCCTCGTTTTTCCCCTTTTACCTTTAATCTTTATCAATCCATTCGAGCATCCAAAGTCCGAATAGAACGAAAACGGACGCTGTCCTGCATTACTCACGACTGATAGCCCTCACCCGTGCTCCTCCGACCCTCCGTATCTATGACTTTCACTCTGTTTTTCTTTCTTTTAGTTCAGGAAATTGAGACGTTTGTGATAATTATAGACTCTATGAGATCATTGTGGGTTTTATTTTTTTATTTCATTTGATTTGTCATGTTTTTGGCTTTAGTTTTTTTATAAATTTTTTTTTATAAAATGGGATCATAAGAAGGGTCGCGAGGGTCGAAGGTTTTTGTGCTTTCAGGGTCCAGCGTGATGCAAAAATGTTACATATGTAAGGGTCACGAGGGTCTGGTGTGACGTTAAAACGTTACGCATGTCGTAAAAACCTTTCGCGTTTTCATAAAAACGTTACGCGGAACAAAAAAACCGTTACGCGAAACAAAAAAACGTTACGCGAAACAAGAAAAAGGTTACGCGAAACAGGAAAACGTTACGCGGAATAGAAAAACGTTACGCGAAACAAGAAAAAGGTTACGCGAAACAGGAAAACGTTACGCGGAATAGAAAAACGTTACGCGAAACAAGAAAAAGGTTACGCGAAACAGAAAAAGGTTACGCGTGACAGAAAAACGTTACATATTGAAGGTAAAGGGGCCCTTGAGTGACGTTAAAACGTTTCGCCTGTCGTAAAAACGTCACGCGTGACAGAAAAACGTTAAATTTTTCAAGGGTCACAAGGTTCTAGTGCGAAATAAAACCATAAAATGTTGCGTTTGTCGTAAAAACGTTACGCGTGGCAGAAAAACATTACATTGATTTCGCCAGAATTGTTTTAAATTCAATGAAAAAATTCAGCATTTAATTGAAAATTCTCATTTAAACGTTTAATTTCACGTATCGATAATTGAATTGTAGCGTCAAATGTCGGAGAAAAATGTCAAAAAACATTTTCTGTTGTGAATTATTTCCGCAGTAGGGAAAGATCTCGAGTAGATCCGGCATTCGAAAAGAGCTTGGAAATGCCCCCGAAAAGTCAATGGCGTATCGACTTTTTCGGAACAATGGAGTTGAGGAATTGGAGGAAGATGATTAGAGGGGTGCGCTGAGATCCTGAAATCTCGAGGTAAACCTGACAGGTGGGTGGAGTCCACGGGAATACTTGGGTGAGCACACCTCAGGCCACACCTACTATCGATCATTTCTCCTTCAACATGTTTTTTCCTACCTGCCCGGTATTGCCGCGGGTGCTGCTCGGGGCGAGTTACGATCATTGAAGGCGCGTGGGAAAAGGCAAACGTATGAAGACAAGTGGGAAATTGCTCTTGTCACAACATTGCCAATATATTTTGCTGATAAATTAGTAATTTCCTTCCGAATGGAATTTCTTTACCAAAATTGTTATACCGACATTTTTTTGTAGAAAAAAAAAACCCGAAGGAAAAATGTCTACAAAATTTTGGTATTTCACGAGTGAAGTAAATTTTCAAATAAATTCATTTTGTGAATTTATCTCTCAATAACTCTGACTGATTCGTTGCCCACCGGACATTGACTTTCCGTCGAAACAGCTCAATCTCGATAAAAACAGCAATAGAATAATTAAAATGAAGGCATTCGTCAATCGATAAGCATTTATTGCATCAGGGAATCTATTTACAAGGCCGGACACTCCAGGATAAAGAAGTAGGTCACGACGACACCAACAGGACTAATAACAACAGATATTAATTTCCCTCCCCACTTCCCCCAAAAATAAATGCAAAATAATAATCACCGATCCCAAACTCTCGTGCGGATTCTACAATAAAATATGTTAGTTGCCCCTAATAAAGAATAAAAAGCATAAATAAAAATAATAAAACAAAAATCATCGAAATGAGTTACTGGACGTTAATTACTCTACGCAATCTTAATCAATAACGTAAATTCGTCGAACCCCTCACCCTACAATTTCAGGTGAGAAAGCCCATTGGCAGGTGCAGTAGTGAGTCTCGGAGTGCTGGTGATCCTGGGACTCCTGGAAGGCCTGCGAGGGCCCGACTTCGGAGTGATGTGAGGAGTGCTAGATGAGACCAAGTGCTTCCTCAGAGGTTTCACCGGGGTCTTGACAGGTGTCTTCATCTTCTTCCCCTCACCACGAGCATTCTTCAGCAGTTGATCAGACAGCAAAGTGCTCCTGAGCTCATTTCTGCTGGAGATGTGCTCCTGAAAGACCTCGTAAGGCTGAACATTCAAGGTGTCATTGGAGGCATCCGACACGACGATCTTCGGGGTCTTCCTCCTCCTGGGGCTGTCTCTATTGAAAGAATTTGATAAAATTCTTCTCGCAACTTTGCCACTCCTCCTGATCTTGGACCCACAGGCGAGAGTGGGTCTGGCCTTCTCACTCTGCACCAGACGTTTCTTGTTCCCAGTCACCACTGGTGACTTGTCCATCGGCAGCTTTCGTTTAACAGACGTCTGAATGCCCCTCATGCTGACCGCAGTGGTGAGATTTTTCCGAGAGGCGCTCAGGGGTGTCTTCTTGGCTGATTTCTTCTCGTCCTTGGCTTTGGCCCTAGCCAGCCTCAAGTTCTCCTTCTCCGTGTTGCACCTCTCGGTCTCCCGCTGGATGTACTCATCGAAGGTGAGCCCATCGAACAAGAAAGGCCCCTCACTCTTGGCACTGAACTCGTCCAGAAGTTCCCTGAGTTTGGCCTCCGCCTTGGGCAGATTCTTCGTTATCAATTTCCTCGTCTTCTCCTCCTCCAGCAGCTGTCCCCCTCGATTATTCAGCCTGTTGGGGTCCTCGGACTTGAGCTCTAGCTCCGCCATCCTCTGGAGCATCTCCTCGTACTGATTGAAGAGCTCCAGGATCTTCTCGTTTCGCTGGTAGAACCTCTTCAGCTCCTCCAGCTCCAATTCGTGGAGTTTCAGCACCTCCTCCGAGTAGTTCTGGTAATGGTAAGCCTTGAAGGCACTCCTCTGCTCCTCACCGAACTTGCAGGCGTCCCAGAGCTCCCTGATGTCCTCCCTGATCTTCTCCACGTACTTTCCAATGTTCTTCATCCTGATTTCCTTGCACTTTTTAATCTCCTTGTTCAGGAGGGAAATTGTGGCTGCGTCACAGCCTGAGTTCTTCTCCAGGAAGTCTTCGTAGTCTGTCTGGGGCACCCCCAGGTACACCAGCAGGGCCAGCAGCTCCTGGCGCTTGCTCTCAGCTGTCTCCTTCGCCGAGGACAACTTCTCCAGCATCTCGTCACGCAATTTATCGAGCTTCTCCATGTTCGAGGGACTGAAGACGAAGTTGTGGTGATCGTTTAACACCAGACGCTGGAAGTCCAGCTTTGGGGAGTAGCCCAGTTCCTCCATCATATTCACTATCTCCAGTCTCACCTCCTTGAAGACTGTCTTCAGGCGAAGCATCTCGGCTTCTTGGCTGGAGATGTAGACCTCGAACTTCTGGAGCTGATCCTCCGAGGGAATTGTGCTCTCCAGACCCACCGGTTTGGACCCCATCACTGCGCAGATTTCGCTCTCTTTGGAGAGGAGGTCCTGCAGGTGGCAGACACGAGACTCCTTTATCTCTTCCAGGTCCTCCAACTGCTGTCGCAGGTGCCTCTCGGCGTCCAGCAGCGCTGCGTCCTCCCAGTCCAGGTCCACCTCGGTTTGGAGCTCTCTGCTGAGGGCTTGCAGCTTCTGCGTTGTGGTCTCGATGCTCTTCAGAAGGTTCGACTTTCGTTGCTTCGTTTCGGAGAGCATCTCCGACCAGAGGGACTGGGGGAGAGATTTCTTTTTATTTGGGAACTCTTGAGAATGCCCCGAGGGCGAGGGAGAGGTCGTGCAGGTTTCGTACATAATTTTTTAGAGAAAAATTAGTAGGGGAGGGCAGGGCACAAGGGAATAGGGGACGGTGGGGCAAAATGAAACAGCAAGAAAATCTTGTGATCTAAGGGAGATAGGACGATTTTCATGAAGACCTTTTTTGTAGAGAATTTTACGAGCTACAAAAAAGGTCCTTTTCAAAAATGTCCTATCTCCTTTAGATGACGAGATTTTCCCACTGTTTCATTTTGCCCCATGCTCCCCCACCATTCTTGCAATATCAATAGTTTCAAGCTGAATATCATTATAATTCGGGGTCATTTTTTAATCGATTATCGTAATTTGGTTTGCGGGGCAAAATGGGGTAGTTGAAAATTCGAAAAATACTGAAAATTGGTATTAATTTAGGTAAAAGTCCTAAATTTCACAGAGAAAAATAATATTGCCGCTTTTGTTTTTAACAGTTTTTTATCAATATCTAGTTTTGAATATTTTCAGTTTTTAAATTTTTCAACTAGATTGCATGGCAAAACTTTGACAAAATTCATACCCAGTCAGTACTATTTAAATTAAATTTCGAAAAATATTGATATTTTTTCAAACATTTCTCTCTTATAAATAAATAATAAAACTTGTCTGCTAAACTGTGGATTATTTTTTATGAGGTGTCAAAAAAATTCTTGATTTTTTCACATCTAATGCAAAAAAAATCAGATTTTAATTTTTGATTACAATGGAAATGTTGATTTTCACATGAGACACTGGGTTAAATCCTAGTTTTTAAACATTTCTTCTTTGACAAACCAAAACGATAATTAAATTGAGAAAAAAATTAAAATTCCGAATCTAATCGAGTTTTCTGCAATTTTTTTGCAGTTTTCAATAATCTTTGAATTTACCGTAAGGGTAGAGCTACTTTAGGCAGAAACTACGGAGTGTTTTGTAATGTTTTTGATACATCACAGAATTTTAATAGACAATTGTTCGATGCTTTCTGGAATTGGTCTGGATTCGTCTTGGGAACGAGTGAAATATCAAGCAAAATCTCTTGTAGATGAGAAAATTCCCAATGAAAACTGCCTCTTGAAATATTTCTCGTTTTTATTAAGATGATCTAGTGCTCCATATGATTGATTATTTATACTTTACTGTTTAATAAACTGAATTAAATTTTTATCGACTGTCAAGATAATTCCATAATTATCATGACGTGGAAGAATTTCAGTTGTGAATTTCTGACTGAAATTTGACTGAAACGTATCGAAAAAAAAATCCTGCTCACCTGATGATGTCCAACAATAGCATTCTCGAATTTTTTTTGTGTGTCAGCATCAAACCCCACGACCTCCCACTCCTTATAAAACTCTGGAATGGTCTCCCTCAGTCCCTGTATGATTTCCTCGATCAACTCCTCTCTGAAGGCAATCCCAAAGCATAAAAATCATCAAAACCCATTCAATAAAGCCGTAAACTCCCACCAGTAAACAATTAATTCCATAAAAACGAAACGAATCAACAGTATTTACGATCACCCCCTGAAAATTCCCCACCCCACGGCTAATTCCTCCTCAAAATGTGACGACAACCCCTTCAAACATGAATTAAAAAGAAAAAAAAATCATGAAAACATGAGAAAAAACTCCTGTCGTCCGCCAAAAGGACCTGTCCCCCCGACTTACCCCTGCTGATTCCCAGCCATGATGTCGAGCCCCTCGAAATCCAAGAAAAATCAGTCCCAAGTCATAAACCCCCTGAACTACATAAATAACTTCACTCCACAAATTCCTGAACTAAAAATCATCAACAAAGTCTTCCAAAACCTTAAAAAAACCACTCAAGCACTCGATAAAACTGATGGCGTGATCCTCCCGATTCCGTAAACTGCCAGACATGGACGTTATTCTTTTGAATTCGAAGCTCCCCGGTGATTGGTCAATCCTTTCCCCTTTCCCACTTCCTCGAAGGTTGCAACGCTTCCAGACGACGAAAACCTCTCAATTTTTCGACTTTCCAGCGCCACCTGCGCCTCAAGCCCTAAACTTCCGTTAATTTTCCCCTCGATAACCGTTCAACCGAGTGTCTCCCCAAAATTCAGACCCTTTAGGACCCTCGAGCCCCCAAAAAAATCCCTCTCACCCCCCAAACCCCCAAAATCATCGAAATTCGCCCTTTAACCTAAAAAAAACTCACTAAAACCGAAAAATAATCAAATTTAATTGTTGAAATCCTCGTGAGAGGGCTAATCTCCCAAAGCACGAACCAATTACGTCGAAAAGTGCATGTAGTGGTGCCAGTGGAGATCAGTGGAGATCCTCTTCATGATATATCACCCTCAAATACGACAGGGTTTGGATTAAATCGCAATTGTGAGTAGAAAAGCCTCATTTTTCCCTCAAAAAACCCCTCTAAAATCGAAAACAGCCCCAGAAAAGTGGCGCAAGCCCCTGCTCCCAGGTAATTCTGCTGGAGTAATTGTCCATCGATGTCAGTCCCATGGTCCCAATTCCAATCACCAAAATGTCCAGTTTTTTTTTTCGCGAATGCATCGATGATTACGCCCACGCATTTTCCATGGAATTCCATTTGTCGATCGTTTTATCGGGGATTTGGCTGTTGTTTTGGGCCCCTGGGGGTGGTATTGCGTTTGAGGGGAGCCTAGGGTGGACATAACCCCTTTTTTGCGGTGGGGATCGGTGGAAGGGTCGCCTGGGAGTCGTTACTCAAGGGTTTCGGTGGTTTTTGCAGATGTCTAGTGGACCTCAGCATAAATATCGGTACAAAAACGTCGGCCTGGACTCCCAGGAGCTGCGGCGACGACGGGAGGAAGAGGGTGTGCAATTGCGCAAGCAAAAACGTGAACAGCAACTGTCAAAGAGGCGCAATGTGCCGACTATTGTTGCTGATGATGAAACTGTCTCCAGCACTGATGAGTATCCAACACCAGCGGCTTTGGTGAGGGCTTTTATGGGTCTTATTTTTTTTTATTGGGTGATTCTAGTATTTTCGATCGTCAAGATGTCGAGTAAATTGAGGAGATCATTTTGAAAAAACATTATGAATATTCAGGTCTTTAAATTACATTTTCCACAGAAGTGTTATTTTTTTATTTTTAGTTTTATTTTTTTAGACATTTGTTGTTTATAGAAAAATAATTGGAATCGTTTAAACTTTCGAAAAACTCAATTTTTTAGACATGAAATCGATTTCTGGTAAAATTTTGAATATGAATGAATTTTTTTTTATTTCTACAGAAAATGATTTTTAGAGAAAATCTTGAGACGTTTTTCTTCTTTAATTCAATTATCCCCAGAAAATAATTAACAATAATTTCCTAATCAATAAAAATAACTATTAAAATTTTGGTATTAAATTCAGGAAGAATTCACTAAATCATTCTGTTGAATACTCAATAATTTCGCCGACAAAAGTTTAAAAAATGATCTAAATTAAATTTCTCAAAATAAAAACCCCCAGTTAACGAACTAAACTCATGTCTTCCCCAATGAAAAATAATTCTAAATAAAGTAAAAATAACTAAAAAAATATTGATAGAACTGAAATGTACTGTTCCAGCAGCAGCCAGTGATAACAAAAGAGATGGTGGAAGCCCTCTACAGTGAAAACGTGGAGGAGCAAGTGGCAGCAACTCAAAGATTCCGAAAGCTGCTGTCACGCGAGCCAAATCCCCCAATTGACGAGGTCATTCAGACCGGAATAGTTCCACGTTTCGTTGAATTTCTGAAGAACGACACAAACTGCACACTACAGTTCGAGGCAGCATGGGCCCTGACGAACATAGCGAGTGGCACATCACCCCAGACACACATGGTGATCGAGGCAGGGGCTGTGCCCACTTTCATAGCCCTGTTGGGCTCCAACTACGAGGACGTCCAGGAGCAGGCTGTCTGGGCACTGGGGAATATCGCTGGTGACAGTCCAGTGTGTCGTGATCACATACTCAACAATGGAATTCTCCCTCCCCTGCTTCAGCTGTTGTCGAAGACGACGAGACTATCGATGACGAGAAATGCCGTCTGGGCACTGTCGAACCTCTGCAGGGGCAAGACTCCACCCCCTGTGTTCCCCAAAGTGTCACCATGCCTGCCGATACTAGCACATTTACTGAATCACTCGGACTTTGATGTACTCGCTGACGCCTGCTGGGCTCTTTCGTATCTCAGCGACGGCCCCAATGAGAAGATTCAGGCGGTCATCGATGCTGGGGTGTGTCGACGTCTTGTCGAGTTACTCATGCACGAGCAGAATAATGTGGTATGTCTTTGTGAACGAATAATAATTAGTAAATAGTGTTTGGTGGGCGTGAAGGGCTGGGCGAATTTTTTTCAGGGGATATGTCGAAGTATCTTGGAGACGAGGGCATTTACGGGAAAATTTCAAATGACATTTTTTGCGGGGAATTTTGTATGCTACAAAAATGGTCTTCTGACATTTTTTGATAAATTTCATCGTTTTGGAGATTTTTAGAGGTTTTTAAACAACGAATTTTTGTGATTTTTCTGTCATTTTGTTTTAGTTGTTTAGTTCATTGGAAATTTCAGTATTTTGGGGCCATTACCTTATTTATAATAAATAAATATAAATATCGTGACGATCTATTATTTCTACGATTTATTATTTATAGTGAATTTTTTTCAGGGGGAATTTCGAAAAATCTTAGAAACGACGGCATTTACGGGAAAATTTCAAATGACATTTTTCGTGGGGAATTTTGTATGCTACAAAAATGGTCTTCTGACATTTTTTGATAGATTTCATCGTTTTGGAGATTTTTAGAGGTTTTTAAAAAACGAATTTTTGTGATTTTTCTGTCATTTTGTTTTAGTTGTTTAGTTCATTGGAAATTTCAGTATTTTGGGGCCATTATCTTATTTATGATAAATACATATAAATATCGTGACGATCTATTATTTCTACGATTTATTATTTATAGTGAATTTTTTTCAGGGGGAATTTCGAAAAATCTTAGAAACGACGGCATTTACGGGAAAATTTCAAATGACATTTTTCGTGGGGAATTTTGTATGCTACAAAAATGGTCTTCTGACATTTTTTGATAGATTTCATCGTTTTGGAGATTTTTAGAGGTTTTTAAAAAACGAATTTTTGTGATTTTTCTGTCATTTTGTTTTAGTTGTTTAGTTCATTGGAAATTTCAGTATTTTGGGGCCATTATCTTATTTATGATAAATACATATAAATATCGTGACGATCTATTATTTCTACGATTTATTATTTATAGTGAATTTTTTTCAGGGGGAATTTCGAAAAATCTTAGAAACGACGGCATTTACGGGAAAATTTCAAATGACATTTTTCGTGGGGAATTTTGTATGCTACAAAAATGGTCTTCTGACATTTTTTGATAGATTTCATCGTTTTGGAGATTTTTAGAGGTTTTTAAAAAACGAATTTTTGTGATTTTTCTGTCATTTTGTTTTAGTTGTTTAGTTCATTGGAAATTTCAGTATTTTGGGGCCATTATCTTATTTATGATAAATACATATAAATATCGTGACGATCTATTATTTCTACGATTTATTATTTATAGTGAATTTTTTTCAGGGAGAATTTCGAAAAATCTCAGAAACGACGGCATTTACGGGAAAATTTCAAATGATATTTTTCGTGGGGAATTTTGTATGCTACAAAAATGGTCTTCTGACATTTTTTGATAGATTTCATCGTTTTGGAGATTTTTAGAGGTTTTTAAAAAACGAATTTTTGTGATTTTTCTGTCATTTTGTTTTAGTTGTTTAGTTCATTGGAAATTTCAGTATTTTGGGGCCATTATCTTATTTATGATAAATACATATAAATATCGTGACGATCTATTATTTCTACGATTTATTATTTATAGTGAATTTTTTTCAGGGGGAATTTCGAAAAATCTTAGAAACGACGGCATTTACGGGAAAATTTCAAATGACATTTTTCGTGGGGAATTTTGTATGCTACAGAAATGGTCTTCTGACATTTTTTGATAGATTTCATCGTTTTGAAGATTTTTAGTGGTTTTTAAAAAACGAATTTTTGTGATTTTTCTGTCATTTTGTTTTAGGTGTTTAGTTCATTGGAAATTTCAGTATTTTGGGGCCATTATCTTATTTATGATAAATAAATATAAATATCGTGACGATCTATTATTTCTACGATTTATTATTTATAGTGAATTTTTTTCAGGGGGAATTTCGAAAAATCTTAGAAACGACGGCATTTACGGGAAAATTTCAAATGACATTTTTCGTGGGGAATTTTGTATGCTACAAAAATGGTCTTCTGACATTTTTTGATAAATTTCATCGTTTTGGAGATTTTTAGAGGTTTTTAAAAAACGAATTTTTGTGATTTTTCTGTCATTTTGTTTTAGGTGTTTAGTTCATTGGAAATTTCAGTATTTTGGGGCCATTATCTTATTTATGATAAATAAATATAAATATCGTGACGATCTATTATTTCTACGATTTATTATTTATAGTGAATTTTTTTCAGGGGGAATTTCGAAAAATCTTAGAAACGACGGCATTTACGGGAAAATTTCAAATGACATTTTTCGTGGGGAATTTTGTATGCTACAAAAATGGTCTTCTGACATTTTTTGATAAATTTCATCGTTTTGGAGATTTTTAGAGGTTTTTAAAAAACGAATTTTTGTGATTTTTCTGTCATTTTGTTTTAGTTGTTTAGTTCATTGGAAATTTCAGTATTTTGGGGCCATTATCTTATTTATGATAAATAAATATAAATATCGTGACGATCTATTATTTCTACGATTTATTATTTATAGTGAATTTTTTTCAGGGGGAATTTCGAAAAATCTTAGAAACGACGGCATTTACGGGAAAATTTCAAATGACATTTTTTGTGGGGAATTTTGTATGCTACAAAAATGGTCTTCTGACATTTTTTGATAGATTTCATCGTTTTGGAGATTTTTAGAGGTTTTTAAAAAACGAATTTGAATGATTTTTCTGTCATTTTGTTTTAGTTGCTTATTTAATCGGAAATTTTATTATATTGGGGATGTTTTCATTACAAATTTTGTGTCTATTATATTAAAAATGATTGATGTCATGACAAACTATTATTTCTTATTCTATTCTTCTGAAAATGTTGATTTTTTGATGGAATTATTGGCTGTAGAAGAATTGTTGTTGAATTTTTTGCAGATGACATAGCGAAATATCTGCAAGTTTAGTGAATTTATGGGAAAATATCAGAAGAGATTTTTTGTAGAGAATTTTGTAGGCTACAAAACTATTCTTATGCCATTTTTCGATAAATTTCATGGTTTTCGAGATATTTCACGTTTTCTGAAGAAAGAAATTCAGAAGTAGAATTATTTGGCAGATCGAAATAATACGCAAAATTTCGATGACATTTCGATTGATGACGGCACTACGACACGAATTTTGAAATAAGAATTAAAAAAATAAAATCCATTCGAGAACAACTTCCTAATTTATTAGCAACAATAGCCATAGTCATAAAAACGCAACTATCGACTTCTTTTTTCTCTCAAAAATAATGTTTTATGACGCTTCAGGTCAGTGCTGCACTGAGAGCAGTTGGCAATATCGTAACAGGTGACGACGTCCAGACCCAAGTGGTCTTAAACTGTTCAGCACTTCCCTGTCTCCTCCATCTCCTCAGTTCGTCACGTGAGAGTGTGAGGAAAGAGGCATGCTGGACAGTCTCAAACATCACAGCTGGCAATGCCCAGCAAATCCAGGCTGTAATCGACGCCAATATCTTCCCAGTGCTAATAGAAATCCTGGGTAAGGCAGAGTTCAAGACGAGGAAGGAGGCTGCCTGGGCCATCACCAATGCCACCAGTGGGGGAACGCCCGAACAGATTCGGTATCTGGTGCGTCATGGCTGTATCCAGCCGCTCTGTGATCTACTCACTGTTATGGATCCTAAGATCGTTCAGGTCGCACTCAATGGACTCGAGAACATTCTCAGACTTGGGGAACAGGATGCTAATATTCATAATGGAGTTAATCCTTATACGGTTAATATCGAGGAGTGTTATGGTGAGTTTTCAATTTTTTTTAAATTTTTAATTCATAAATTATCTTTTTGCTTTAAATTTTTCGGATTTTTCAATTTTTTAAATCAGATTCTTACATTTGGAATATATTAGATAATTATTGGTACTATTAAGAATATTTTTGGGACTCCTTTGACTTGAAAACAACAATATTATTCATTTATTCGTTTATTTTGTATTTCTTCGTGTTTAAAATTTAATTATCTCGGTAAAGAGTCACTCTAGGAAAAAATGTCACTAGATATTTTACGTGGGGAATTCAATTTTCTAAAAAAAATCCTTATGCTATTTTTTCGTAACTCCTTTCATTCTCAAGATAACTTGAAAATTAGCAAAATGTCAAATTTGCCAGACTGCATTCCTTCCACAAATCGCCTTTTTAAACACTGAATTATCTCAATAACGAGTGCCTCAACGAAAAAATGCCTCAAGACATTTTTTTTAGAAAATTCTTTCCTCTGCAAAAAGTTCTCATGAAATTTTCTCGTAAACCCATTTGTTCTCGAAATAATCCCCCAATTAAAACCTATAATTGAGTAACAATTGATGGATTTTCATTCTCAGGCCTAGACAAAATCGAATTTCTCCAGTCCCACCAAAACATGGAGATCTATCAAAAAGCATTTGACATAATTGAGCGTTACTTCGGCTCCGAGGAGGAGGACACGAAAATTGCGCCAGAAGTTGACTCCCAGGGCCAGCAGTTCCAATTCTGCACCCCAGACTCATCACAAATGCCAGTCCAGAATTTTCAGTTCTAGATGAACTCACTGAACCACCGGTGGGCCGTGCATTATAACCGCTTATGCTACGAAAATGCCCCTCCCCTCGCCCCAAAGAGCAGCAGAAAATTCCGATAAGAAAAATAATTAGCAAAGCCCCGGGGAATCGATTGTTGAGTGAAATAACCGATGATTAAATTTTATTTTCACGCTTTCTGTTGCATGGGACTTCATTGTGGCTCTCGTTGACTTGTTCAAGACCTAAAGAACGAATCAAGTATGAAATAACGATTCATCCATCTTTTATCGCATTCAGAATTTACTTCGGAGGTGAAAAAAAATGACATCTAATGTGAAACACTTTCTTAACAAACTCCAGTCTTTTTGTTATCGATTTATTTCTCTCTCCTTCCTTGTCTCAGCCAAAATGTTATTGTATAGGCTCCACAGTAATGCGGACTATCTAGATCCTAATACAATACGTCAGATTGTACAATGACAAGTGGTTTTTTTTTTTCATTATGATTATAGTTTTGTTTATTTTATTGATATTTTTTTTTCTCGCTAGTTTATGATGTTTCACCTATTTTATTTTGCAGAGGGTGTAATTTAGGAGTTAACGACAAAGTTTAACGTTTAGTGCTTAAGTAGGATGTAAAATGGAATTAACGAGAATCGACGGATTATTACGGACGGTGCGAGACGTCACTGACTGATTTTATGGATTAGGGGGTGAAGTTATTCGGGGAGAAGTGGTAAATTGTGATTTATTAATTTTTGATTATTTTCTTTTGTTTATTTTTTATTTTGATTATTTATTTTCATGGCTAGTGGATTTGGGAAAAGTGTTGGAACAAATTTCTAGATTAAAAAATTGTTTTCATTAAGAAAAGTGAAAAGTCAATTCGATATTTTGAGTTTATCTCGAAAACGAGTGGTTTTTAGGGAAAATGTCAGAAAATAACTTTTGTTGAGAATTGAATTTCCTATCAACAATGTTCTGTGACATTTTCCTCTAGAATGACTCGTTATCGAGATAAAGTTGATGAAAGAAAAAAAATGAAATCTTGAAATCTTGAAAAATGGACTCAGTTTAAAAAAAAATATTTTACCAATTTATTTTGATGATGAGTAGATTAGAAGAAAAAATAGAAGACGTTTTTTCTTTAAATCAGGGAATTCCCTGATCAACAAATTTGTTCGATTGTGAAATTTTGCATTTATCTTGAAAACGAGTCATTTTTAGGGAAAATATCAGAAAATATTTTTTGTAGAGAATTGAATTTCCAACGAAGAACGTCTTATGACGCTTTCTCCTAAAACCATTCGTTATCGAGATAATTGAATATTTACCAAAATGTAAATTTTTTTTTATCTTTTGCCACTTCTCTACTGAATTTCATTAGTTGTGGAATAATGAATTCCTCGTGATGAAAAAAATGATATTTGAACGGACAACAATGACCTAACGCGAATAAATTACGTTCGAAATAAGCAAGACGACCAATCGATGAATTTTTTACTGTAAATACGAAAAACTCGCGATTTTGAAATGGTCTCTCCATGCAGATTACCTCGAGGATTACTTTGTGCATTATTTTCGCCCTGGTAAGTAATGATAAACCCAATAACCACTAACATGAAGAGAACCACAGGAAAATGGAAGAATAATTAGTCTGAAATGTATCAAACATTCACTTTAAATTTATTTACCTCCAGAATTACCTCATAAATCCAAAATATCTCTTTACATCAATCATCATCTCTGTATTCCATAGATAAATTGACACAAAATATTATCACCTGATTTTTAATTCTCACATTTTATCTCCATTTCAAGGGGTAAAACGGCATTCAGTATTCGAAGGCCATTCGATGAAAAATAGGAAGAGAATAAACTCGGACTGATGACTAACTATAAAACGACAGATTTATTTTGAACAAAATAAAACGAACAAACACGAAAACAATAATACGTAAATCTTAAGTCAATATTGAACTCTCTGTTTTGATGAGAAATATATCATTGGAGGCATAAGAAAATTTCGTTGTCTTCTCATTTGATCCTCCCTATTTTTTTTCATTAATTTCAGGGTGAGATTGACATTCACAAATTCAGCACGTTCGTTACAAAATAATTAATCTCGAAGTGGTAAAAAATAGAATTCATAAGCGTTAATTGATATATTAAAATTGAGAATTATAGATATTTTATGGGAAATCATTAAATGATTGAGATTGAGTTATTACTGTTTATGAATTATGATTTTTAGTATCTGAGGGGACAGCTCTTGACCCCTGGCTCTGGCTGCACGTGGATTATAGGACCATCAGTCATCCTCGTGATCAAGGGCTGGAGCTTCTCCTCGTCGACTTTTCCTCGTAATTTCAGTGTCAACTGGTTCTCCACGAATTCAATCAGTGATTCGTTCTTGTAGCCATCGACCACCATCGTCAGGATGTAGATGGCCTCTTTGACGAGGGGGTTCTCACGGTCGCAGAGGTTGTGGAAGGCTTTCATGGCTTCTGGGTGAATGTCCAGGAGATGCTCCACGATCTGATTAAAAAGACAAAAAAGCTTAATTCAATTGCAAAAGATTTTTCTGCAGTTGACATCAGGAATTTCAGTTTCATTTTCGTAATTGTCATTTATCTCGAAAACGAGTCATTTTAGGAGAAAGTATGAGATAATCTTTTTTGTAGCTTATGAAATTTCTAACAAAAAATGTTATATGAGATTTTTTCGTCAACCCACTCGTCACCCAGATAATGAAACATTTAAAAAAAGTAAAAAAGATGACTTGTTCCATCTTTTTCAAAACTTCATTCAACATTTTCGCATTTATCTCACGAACTACTGATTTTATAAAAAAACATGAGAGAACTTTTTTGCAGCTGACAAAATTCCCCACAAAAAATGTTCTGTGACATTTTCTCACCCACCCACTCCCCCTCAAGATAATCCGCCTCCAACAAAACCAAAAAAAAAACATTTTCATTTTCTTCCAAACTAATCCCAAAAAACGTAAAAAAATAAAAATACTCACCACAACCTTCTGCCTCTCAATCTTCTCCTTCAGCTGCACCAGCGCCATGCCATAGTCGTCCCCCAGATCCCGAGGGGAGAGCAGCAGATCCTCCTCTGACCCCAGAGCATTTTTGCTCGCATTCCCAATCATCCTGGCAAGACAGAACATGGGATCCTCCTCACTGGAGAAAAATAAAAAAACTGTTGGTCTCCTGGGGTTCCTGATGACCTCGGCGATGCCTGCCTCCAGGTCCCTCCAGATGGTGAGGCACTGCCCCTTGAACTTGGCCTTGATGAGGTCAATGTTCCTCCCCAGGTTGCCCAGAGCCTTGAGAATGGACTCCTCCTTGCTTAATTGAGGCTGTTGTCCCTCAGGACTGGACACACTCTTCGCGTCTGAGTGCATCGTCCCCAGGATGATGCCCACGACCACCAGGACAGCCACACATACCCAGCAGACGAAATTATTCCCCTGATGTTGGACCTGTTTTCCAGGGACTCGAGGCGAGGCCTTCGGTCTCTCGATCTGATCTCGAGGGGTCGAGGTGTTCCTGGGAGTTCTCTTCACCACGTCAGCGGTGCTGGACGTCCCCTGGGGTCTGGAGACCGTTGGGGATGGCCTCCTGGGGGGGGAACGCCGAACGTCGTCCGGGGAACCCTCGGATTCAGATTCACTGCTGGTCTCACATTCTGGCTCTGTGGGGGTCCTCGATCGCTGCCTGCGGGCTCGCGGGGATTTGGGGGGTGTGTTCTCGGGGTTCAACATCCTGGGGAGGGGCCGCCGGGGCGCGGGACCTCTCGGCATCAACTGGAGGTCGAAAATCCTGCGGGGGTTCTCCTGATTTGGAGAGAAGAGAGAAAATGAAGAGGGAGTTTTTTTATGAGGAGGACATTTTTCAGTCATTTATTTGTTTTTATTGAAGGAGGGAAGTCGGTTGGGAGTGAGGGACATTTTTGGGGGGATTTGATGAATTAAAGAGAGAATTTTTGAATTTTTTTGGGGGGGGGGACTTTTTGGAGTGAAGATTAGTGCATGTTTAATGAGAGAAAAAAAATCAGCTAGACCTTTTGGTAAATATCTTCGGAGCTACGGGATTTATGAGAAAATGTCAGAGGAAATTTTTGTAAGGAATTTAATTATCTAGAAGAATGGTCTGAAGACGTTTTTGGCTAGAACCGACGGTTAACAAGAGAATTGGCTGTGAAATAAACGATTTCATGTTTGGAAAATCAGGGGAGAAAATTTGGGGTAGAATTTTTGTTAAATATCTTCGGAGCTAAGGGATTTATGAGAAAATGTCAAAGGAAATTTTTGTAAGGAATTTAATTATCTAGAAGAATGATCTTGTGACATTTTTGGCTAGAACCCACGGTTACCAAGAAAATTGGATGTTAAATAGACGATTTCACGTTTGGAAAATCAGGGGAGAAAATTTGGGGTAGAATTTTTGTTAAATATCTTCGGAGCTAAGGGATTTATGAGAAAATGTCAAAGGAAATTTTTGTAAGGAATTTAATTATCTAGAAGAATGATCTTGTGACATTTTTGGCTAGAACCCACGGTTACCAAGAAAATTGGATGTTAAATAGACGATTTCACGTTTGGAAAATCAGGGGAGAAAATTTGGGGTAGAATTTTTGTTAAATATCTTCGGAGCTAAGGGATTTATGAGAAAATGTCAAAGGAAATTTTTGTAAGGAATTTAATTATCTAGAAGAATGATCTTGTGACATTTTTGGCTAGAACCCACGGTTACCAAGAAAATTGGATGTTAAATAGACGATTTCACGTTTGGAAAATCAGGGGAGAAAATTTGGGGTAGAATTTTTGTTAAATATCTTCGGAGCTAAGGGATTTATGAGAAAATGTCAAAGGAAATTTTTGTAAGGAATTTAATTATCTACAAGAATGATATTATGACATTTTTGGCTAGAACCCACGGTTACCAAGAAAATTGGATGTTAAATAGACGATCTCGCGTTTGGAAAATGAGAGAAAAAAATTTGAGTTGGACTCTTTTTTAAATAACTCCGGAGCTAGTAAATTTATGAGAAAATGTGATAAGACATTTTTGCAGGGAATTTAATTATCTAGAAGAATGGTTTTATGACATTTTTGGCTAGAACCCACGGTTACCAAGAAAATTGGATGTTAAATAGACGATCTCACGTTTGGAAAATGAGAGAGAAAAAAATTTGAGTTGGACTCTTTTTTAAATAACTCCGGAGCTAGTAAATTTATGAGAAAATGTGCTAAGACATTTTTGCAGGGAATTTAATTATCTACAAGAATGATATTATGACATTTTTGGCTACAACCCACGGTTACAAAAAAAATTGCATGTTTAACAAATGATTTCATGTTTAAAAAATACCACGAGAAATTTTCAACTACTCTTTGCAGCATATCCTTACAGCTAGTACTTAACATCAAATCCCCCAAAACATTTCCTCCAAAAAATTATTACTATCAATCCCCCCGCTACGAAACCCCAACCCCCGTCTCCCCAATCGCCAACCCCAGAAATCCTCAAACCTTCATTGAAAAAAAAAAGACTGGAGCGCTTGTCCTCCTCCTCACAACCATTTTCCGGTCTGAAAAATTAGCTGATAACCTCAATCACCGGACAAATCTCGAACCCCTCGCGACGATAAGTCCGAAAAATAGTCCTTGAAAATCCTTCCGCGTGTTTACATTACATTACATTGAATTCTACCCAACAAAAGTTGAACCGAACAGCCGCGAAGAAATGTCCAGTGCTGCCAACCCCCGGCCAGAAAAATCCGAGGGGTCGCGGACCCCCGAGTGTTTCCATTCGGCCGATAAACAAAACAAAAAAGGTGTATTTACGGTGCTGTGTTTAGATCATCACTTAGACCAAATTTTGAATTCGAATGGAATTGGTGCTGCCCTCTAAAGTGTTTTCACCAGGCAACCAATGAGAAAAGAGAAACAGTTACTAGAGAAGAATTGGCACTCGCCTCTACAAGAGTGAGAGGATAAAGCCACTAGGATTAGAAGAAGAAGGAGAAAACAAAAAATTATTTGTTGTGGGATAATCCCGGAGCCGGGGGATGTTCGGAATTTCGTGGGGTCCTGTGAGGTTAGAAGAATGTGCACCGGTCCAATGAACAGAATTTTCCACTGGGGGCCACTTACCGCAATCGGTGAGTCTTTTTATCCTCGATTTATCTCGCTGGAGAGTTCTCGCGTCGGGTCTAGGTTATTTCGCGAGGGTTTCGCGCTGGGGGTGCAGTCGGAGGGGCTCAGGGGCGGGGGCTGGACCTCCGGGGGGTCCTGGGGGCCGTCATTACTCGGACGAGGGACTGGTCGCGTTTTTTAGGGGGTTCGGGGGACTGTGCGGCACATGAGGAAAAATCACTGAATCACGGTTACGTTTCGGCTTCGGTTTTTTATGGACGACCGACGTCATGCGCCGGTTTTCAGCGGGAATATTCAATTTTAGCCCGCGAATGGAGCAAAACTGGAGGGCAGGGCGGGCAAAATGGAATAGGGTGGGTAAAACGGGATAGTCTAATTTTGCACAAGAAAATTATAAATTTCTTAAAATCATAAAGATATTCTCTACTCGTGTAATTTGGTTCCTTTTTCCTCCCTTTTATTGATTTCTGATCGATTTGCTGAAATGTGGGAAAATAATTTATTAAAAACGGATAATGAGTGCACAAAACTCAGTGATCAGGGTTCCACCACTTCTTATTATGGCACAATTCATCATTCCATTTTATTATGACAATTCATCACAATCTATTTCATCACAAGCACAATTTATTACAACATATCTCATCGCAATTTGAACTCATCACAAATCTATTCATCACAGTTATAACAAAACATTTTTAAATACATTACCAATTACCAACACGTTTGGCTCAATATAAGATCAGTATCAAAAACATGTGGAACGATATATGTTTGGAGGGAAAACTGAATTTAGGGTGGATTGGGAAAGGGGTAGTGGAAAGGCCGGTGAAAAACGAACGCACTGAGTCTATAAAAAATATATTGATTTATTCGGTGGAATCGAACCACCTCAGCGTCACTTGTTACACTCTGTTAATTGTCACTTAAATTAATTCAAACTGTTCTGAATTTAACACTGGAGATTTTCTGAATAATATACTGAATAATAGGAGACTGTACTGAGAATTTAAATAGGAGATGTACTGATAAATAACTGCTTCGAACGAGTGATGTACTGACGCCGTTCGAAGGTAAGGCTAGTAGCTACTAAGAGCTCCTAAGGTGCGATACTGCTCTGTACAATGATCTGAGACTAACTAACGCTGAGATTCGGTGATTGACTAGGCCTGACCGTTGACCCAAGGTTTCCCGAAGATTTTCGTAAGTGGCCGATCTGTGGTCAACCGTTGATGTACTGAATTTTAACTACGTTTCAAACAATATAAACACACATCTTTCAAGAAATTATTGAATCAAATGAATCAACTGATTCATCACAAAACTCCATAATCAATATATTGATTGCCATTTCGGGCAACTACTCACCATTAGAAATTGAATTTATATATAGAAATGATTGATTAGAAAAAATATTGTTTATGTAATGAATAATGCTGTGATGAGTTTCTCATGTGATGAGCAGCGCTGTGATGAATTAATCATGTGATGAAAAATAATGTGACGAATTGTCCATGTGATGAATTTTAGTGATGAAACGTGCCGTAGCGCAGCGTTTCCAATCGTTTTTGAGATATGAAATAAATATGAAATCTTAGTATAGAACCTCTTCTAGGAAATTCATGAGAATTTATGGACCAGAAACCGTGTAAAATGGTCGTATCTCCACTAATCTTCCAGATATTGATAAAAAAACTGTTGAAAACAAGTGGTAATAGTAATTTTTTCATACATTAATAACAATTTTCAGTATTTATCGAATTTTCAACAATCCCATTTTGCCCCGTGAACCAAATTACAATAATCGAGTGAAAAATGATGCCGAATTATTATAATATTCGGCTCGAAACTAGTGATATTGTAAGAAAAATTGGTCCCTCTAACGCGTGCAAAACGATCATTTATAAATCTTAAATTGTCATTTCTTCATGTTAAAAAATATGAAACCTTCGAATTGTTTCAGCAATAATAAAAATCATAACCCTGATGACAATTCACTGCAGTAGACAGTGGTGGTCCCCCCAGGAGAGCATCTCCGGTGCCGCAAATTTTTTACTATTTTTCAGCCTAAGTGGATCAACAATTTACCACTTTATCACAGCAATCTACGAGGGACCGGGCTATCTCCCCCTGAAATGGATGCCTGTGAGTTCAAAGGCCCTCAGCAAACCCCTGGCCCTCAGTGCTGTACATTAAAGCTGTTTTCCTTGCAGGAGAAGCTGGAAGATACTCAGTATCTGCAATTCTGCAGAATATGCGAGGGCTACAAGGCTCCGCGCAGTCATCACTGCCGCAAATGTAATGAATTATTCATTTCTGTACTACCCTGTGCTGTAGAGCGCATCCTCATACTAAAAAACAATTACATAGAATACCAGAAAAGTCGTAATTCATTAAAAAAATCGTTTATTTTATTTTGTTGTTTAATGCAAAGTGGAAACGGTAGCAGAAAACGAATGCAGAAAAAAATTTACAACAGTTTTCTTTTTGATTTCTATTACGCAAAAAAATTGTAGAGGGTCAAATGTTCTTGAGGGTCAAACGGGAGGGACCAGTGGACTGATTACTTCACTCGTCTCTCCTGTTTGAACTTCTTGACCCTTCCGCCTGTCTCTCCCATTTGACCCTCAAGAAAGTTTGACTCTTCTGACCTCTTCGTTCGTCTCCCGTTTGACCTTCAAGACTGTTTAACCCTTAAGGTCCACTTTGCCCCACCCTTCCCCAATATCTTAATCAAAATTAAAAAAAGAATGCAGAATCAAATTCAGATAACTTTTTTTCATCTCTATTACTAAAAAAAATGATGAAGGGCCAAATATTCTTGAGGGTCAAACGGAGAGACAGGTGGAGGGTCAAATATTGTTAAGGGTCAAACGGGAGAGACGAGCAGAGTGATCAGAAGGGTCAAACGTTCTCAAGGGTCGAATCGTCTTGAAGGTCAAACAGCCGTGAGGGCCAAACGGGAGAGAAGTGGAGTGCCCACTTCACTCCCATTTGACCCTCAAGAAAATTTGATTCTTCTGATTACTTCGCTTGTCTCCCCCGTGATGAAGGGTCAAATGTTCTTGAGGGTCAAACGGGAGAGAGGTGGAAGGTCAACTATATTTAAGGGTCAAACGGAAGCGACGACTCGAGTCATCACTTCGCTCGACTCTCCCGTTTGACCCTCTTCACCTTCCTCCTGTCCCTCCCATTTGACCCTTAAGACTGCTTGACCCTTAACCAACGAAATACGCTACCGTTCCACTTTGCCTCATCCTCCCCTATTTACGAATGTATTTATGAAGAATGGAGATTTCAGGTGGTCGTTGTGTCCTCAAGATGGACCACCATTGTCCCTGGATAAACAACTGCGTGGGTCACTACAATCACGGGCATTTCGCAGCATTTTTAGCGAGCGCCGTCGGCGGATGCTGTGTGTCCACTGTCATCCTCGTTTGCTGGCTGCTAACAGTTTTATCGAGAAGAAATATCAATTTTCCTCCACCGTCTGTGTTCACTCTAGTCATTGTGGTCTTCACTATCGGCCTTTCTATTGGAGTCGTTCTGGCTGTGGGAATGCTACTCTACTTTCAAGTGAGTCGATTAATTCTCGGCTTTAAACTTAATTTGTACGGAATATTTTTGCAAAAATTTGGCAATGTCTGGGCAACATTAGGAGTTGCACATTTTTGAGGGTCAAATGGGAGAGACGAATGAAGTGATCGGAATAATTCGACTTTCTTAAGGGTTAAATGGGAGAGACAGGCGGAGGGTCAATCGGGAGAGTTAGGTGGGGTGGGGGGAGGGGGGTTAAGAGGGTCAAACGGGAGAGCAAGAACGAAGTGATGACTCCACTCGTTTGACCCTTCATCGTTTAAGGGTCAAACAGTCTAGAGGGTCAAACGGGAGAAACGAAGCGTCAAGTGGGAGAGACAGGCGCAAGGTCAAGGGGGTCAAACGGGAGCGACATTTGTTGTTTAAGAGTCATGGAGTACTGAGGGTCAAATGGGAGAGACGAAGAAGTGATAAGAAAAATCAAACTTTCTTAAGGGCCAAATGGGAGAGATGAGGGGAGTCATCATTTCGCTTGTCTCTCCCGTTTGACCCTCAAGATTGACCCTAAAAACATTTGACCCTTCATAATTTTTTACAAAATCATTATCTACACCAAAACATATTCAAACCCATTCTAGTTATCAGCGATTATTCGCAACACAACAGGCATTGAAGACTGGATACTTGAGAAAGCCAAATACCGAAGGATGGGTACGAAAGATAAATTCATTCACCCTTACTCAATAAGGTGGGGCGTCAACGTCAGGCAAGTGCTCAAGTGGCACTGCGAGCCCGATGGCAATGGCATTATATGGCCGGTACGGGAGGGCTGTGATCAATATACACTCACGGTAAGTGCCTACCCCATGAAAAACATTTCAACAGAGAGATGAGAAATGCGAGGCAAGTCCTCACGGATTCCATCTATTTCATCTCAATCAATAGTTGATTGGAAGGCGGGTGGTGGTGGGGGGAGGGGTAGAAAACTATTTGGAAAATTGCGTCGATGTTATCGGAAGTATTGAAAAATCTGGGGGCAGGTCTGGAATTGATTCATTCTGTCGTGTTTTTATTTTTTGTGAAATTTCCAATGTTTTATGTCAGGGTAACTAATTTTCGCCTCAGGAGTTTGAATATGCTATTTTTAGATGCGGATGTATGCATGCGTGTATGAGTATGTGACCGATTGTTTTTCGACGGTGACTGAAAAAATAATTGTTTAAATGAATACGATTGTGATTTAAAATAATCTTTCCAATACCATCTTGATTGAGTTCGATCATGAGATTGGATTGGATATTTAGAGAAAGGCAAAAAAATGTTGTAATCAATGATGGAACAATGTTGGCTGCTAATGTTGGCCACCAACATTGCAAAAAATTGATGTTTTACAGTGAACGTTGGGCGAATGTCGGCTACCAACGTTGGGGGCATGTCGGTTACCAACGTTGGACCAATGTTGGCAATCAACGTTGGGGGGATGTCGGCTATCAACATTGGGCCAATGTCGGGGAAATGTTGGCCAGCAACGTTGGGGGAATGTCGGCTACCAACGTTGGGCCAATGGTGGCTACCAACATTGACAATGAATCATTGAATTCAATTTAAAATACATCGTCATAGAAGTTCCATTCAGAAGCAAACTGCCAATTTATGAGCAAGAGTATATTGGCCACGTCACGAGGAAAACAATTTCCCATTTGTTTTCCTGTATGAGCAGTGAAAAACGTCGTTTTCTTAAAGGAGAACAGGCTAAAATGCCACACGTCACTAATGTTTTCAATGTTTGTCAACCCTCAGAGGGAGCAGGGTTATCAGAAAAAGGAGAAGCGTCGTAGAGCCAGGATATATCGAGTGATATCCAAGGTATCTGGTTCCTGGATACCGATCACGTATGGTTGGCGGGTTGTTTGTCACCCGCCATGCACGGACGAGCCAAGGATCAGGCTCGATCCCGAGGATATTGTCACCGTGACCCGATGGCGACGGTAAATTTTCTTGCCCCCATTCCCCTTTGCCCCGTAAAAAATAGGAAATTAGGGTGTGAAAGAGGAAAAAAAGAGTCATCTGATGCTGCAAAATTTCAGACATTGGCTGTTCGGCGAGAAGATGCAAGAGACCGACGATCCAAAGATACGTGTAAAAGGATGGTTCCCACGTACGAGTGCAATCGAGGTCGTGGAAAACGAGGAATACCCCGACTCCTTCTCGAAGGACGACTGAAGATTGTCATTGCGTAATCCAACGAATTCAGCTCTCTCATAAATATCATCACATGCGTGTTGATCAGCCAGTAAATTTTCACTGTTGTTTTTATACCATTCGTTTACTATTTTTTTTATCGGGTTGTTATTCACTGCATTCGAGGGGGCATTCAGGATAATTGTAATTACGTGTAACCCATGATTTTTAATGAGTTGTTATAATGGTATACCGTTGGATTTCCAAGGACGAATGTGTCTGGAGGTACGTTCCCTTGACGATTTCCGCGGAATTATGTTTATTCTAATTATCTACTTAAATACATCTTCGATATTGAGAAAATTTTTATGCAATTATGTTGTTTCATTACGAATGTAGTAAAATAAAATCATTTTTAAACTAATATTTTCATTCGTTTCCAGAAACTTCAATGCTCAACTTGTTTTTTGGTTTCCTTTCGGGGCTTACGACGACTGACAATACTGATCAGTGTTCAAAAAACCACAAAAAATCGGACCATTCGTTCACGAGAAATCGTTGACCAAAATTTTGACCACATACGTACAAAGTAACACACATACACACACACACACACACCCACAGACATTTTGTTAAAAACTATCGAGGAACATTAGAAATACCTTGAAACGTGGAGATATCATGGAAAATCGATTTTTCATTTTCGGGGGCATTACAATAACTTCCCTGCCCGGGAAGTTAAAAATAATAATAATCCATTTTTTTCTTGACTCTGAATGCTCTACATACAGCGGTTCGAATACAACCGCGGGAAAATTTTTTGTGGGGTTCGGTGAAGGACAGAAGGGTTTTGTAACGTAAAACACTCGGAATTAACGTATACTGTATCGAATTGAATTTATTCACAGCGAAAGTAACTTTGATTTATATCATGAGAGCTGGAACGAGAGTGAGCTCCCGCGACAGCGGTATTAGATCATCCGATCGAGGATGTCCGAATTATTACGAATCGTCGCGAGGACGTCTTGCGACAAGGGCAGCGATATATCGGCGACGCGTGTCGCGGTACGAAATTCGGTTGCTAAGCCGAGCTCGAAAACAATACATTGAAATGGTGTGAAATAAATATAAAAGTAGCTTCGCTACATTTTTTCTCCTTCAATAGTCATTTGCTGTGGTTTTCATGAAATATTCTCATTCCAAGTAAAGCTGATGCCGAAAAAATACTTATCAGCAACAAATTGATTATTTAAACAATATTTACAGACATTTTTGGGAATATATGCTTTGGATGATCCCCACTGGAACCGAAAAAAATATATCTCTCAAGGAAGTCCCTGGGATGTATTGAAAATGGCGTATAGTACATTTTTTACGTCTATCGATTGTTCCATGAGAACGTTTATGGAACTCTAAACGAGGAAGAAAAATAAGCAGTTATTTTTTTCCCACCTCACAATGATGAAATTCTCTCGAGTAATATTCTCAAACGGGCATTAAGCCATACGCGTCACAATTTAAATAATGTTGTGTCGTTGAATAAAAAAATATGGTGACAGAAATTATCCAATATTCTTGCAAAAAAAATTGTTTCAAAATAGTCTCAATAGAACTCATAATATAGGTATCACGTTCGTCAAAACTGTTGTTAACGAGAGTTGAAAAAAAATCAATAGCTCAAGAGTGGGAAAAGCGTAGACATGCGAGGAAAAATGAGTGAGTGAAACAGAAAACATAGCGACGTGGGGGAGAGGCCGAGTGGAGCCTTAGCGATATAAAAATATGAAAATTGCGCGCTGGCCGTACCCTGTAACAAAATGTGTGACTCGAGGGATTATACCTGTGAGTGCACGCAATCGGATACGACTGTCACGCAGAGCTTGTTCCAATTTTTTCACTGTATATTACTTTTCTGTTTGATTTGACGTGAGCGATGAAATAGACTTCAATCGCATTTTCACATGCATGAGGGGAGACAGGACTAAACGATGCGCCACTCCCCCTTATGCCGCAGAAGATTTCTCGCTCAGTCGTGGAGGGAATAGTAACACGATTCTGTTTACTTTGATTCCGTTCGTTTCGTTTTATTTTCGGGGAATTAAGGATATACTAGCATCTTTTACAGTTTGGTATATAGATTTAACTATTTTCACTCATCAAACTTGTCACTTAAATTGCGTGAGAAAATTTGAAAAAAATCATTAATATTCCGCGTCATTCAAATAACATTTTGCACAGAATTGTTTTTTTAAACATTCATTGTTTATGAATAAATATTTGAAATTGTTTAAACTTTCGAAAACATTATTTTCTAGGCATGAAATCGATTTCTGATAAAATTCTGAATGTGAGATAATTTGAGAAAATTGATTTTTTATAAATTATTTATTGAAAATGTTCGTAATTTTAAGAAAATTTTACTTTTTAAATTATTTTGTCAATCTTTCTCCGAAAGTAAACTCTATTTTTTTTAGATTTTTAAAATGTTTTCTAACGGCTCAATATCGAGATTCAAATTTACACCTGCAGCGTTCAAATAATAAAATCATCGTAAAATGTCTGGAAATTTAGAGTCAAATGGGACTCAAATGAAAGCTCTGATGTTCGACGGCAAAAGTATAAAAGGATTTCACTGGAGAAAAAATAGTCAAAGTACTTGGAGATCTTTAAATCATTCCGGAATCATTCATGTCGATTCCAGAGATCATATCTCTTCCTGTTCATGAATATTCAATGTTTGATGATCGTTACATGTGTCATGCGCGCACTTTGTTGTATTTTTTCTTCGTGATTGATTGTTTTCCGAATGCAAAACATCTTCATTTGAATAAACTGCTTTCACAAAAAAATTAATACAGGCGATTACGTAGAGAAAAACAGAAAAAAATTATGAAAAGTCGAATGTTTACAAAATTGGGAGATTAATTGCTATCGGTAACAAACCCATTCGTCTCTTACCACAATAGTCTAATTAATCGCTGAACCTTCCGACAATATAAATTATATGAAAACTAGGGGGCTTCGCCCCCTGCTCGCTTCGCTTGCCAACCCCGGGGGGCTTCGCCCCCCCGCTCGCTTCGTTCGCTCCTCCCCAATCCAATTAGGAGGTCAAGGAGAGCCTACAATTCTTTATTTTACAACAATAACAACATAACAACAATTCAACATTTTGTCATGAAATGTATAGCTATATACGGCTTTATTGGAATATACACGGCTTTATATTAAAATATGGAATCAAATTCATGAATGCGAACCTGTTGAGAACAACTAAAATGGTAATATATATTTCATTCCCCCCCACCGCGATTGACCC